TTCGGCTGTTTACGCGGGACGTTGTGGATGGGGAGGAAGGTTTTGGGCCGGGGGGGGGGGGCCAAATGGAGCTGAGGGGGAATATGTATGTATGCCCAAGCACGGGGGTGTGTATCGCGAGGAGTTCGTGGGGAGGGTTGAGGTTGAGGGTTGACGGAGGACAAGGAGGCGGGTGGCTTAGGGCCATGACGGAGAATGTATATATTTTGATATTTTGAGGCGGAACAGGCGTTGGAGAAGGAGGCGTTGGTGATGAAGGTGCTGACGCTGTTCGTGGCGTGTCCTGGCAATGCAGTGTGTAGGCCGGAGTTTATAGAGGCGCCCAAGTAGGAGGGGAGGGGTTGCTGCTGGATTTGACCGTTGTGGAGGTCGGTGATTGTGGGTGGGCACTGGGGGATTATGTATGAGAAGGCGGAGGAGACGGCGGGCGTTATTAAGGGGTTTTTGAAGGAGAAGTTTGGATCGCAGTAAGTGAGCAATTGGCTTTTTAAGGGGTTGTTGCTTAGTTCGCTGTTGTGATTTTATTTTTATTTTTATTTTTATTTTTTTTGGGAAGGGCCAATATTTATTTATTTCTTGAATTCTGCGTTCCAAAGCAGGATAGGTTGCCTCTTTTTCAATGCAATCCGTTTGTTCTGCCCACTGGGTATAGAAATAAAAATCAAAGGACGTGTAGTGTAGAAGAAATAACCACAAAAAGCTCACACCTGAAAACGGACAGATAAGGTCTAACCGGAGAACCTGCAAGAAATTCTGTGTATAAAAAAAATATCTCAACAACAGGAACACAAAAGAAACATATACAGGCTAGGGATATCATTGCGCAGGCGAGGTATATGGAAAATGGTATAAAAGGGGCGGGAAAGAGGCTCAAATGACCAGAGAAAAACGCCAAAACACCCTCCATGACGGAACTCGGGGAAATAGGGGAAGTTTGCCGGTTGAAATTATGAGGCGGATAATAAAACCAACCATACCTCTCAAAGCCGCCGATACCACTGCGCCCTCTTCCAAGATTTCGTCCGCGTCCGCGTCCGCGTCCGCGTCAGCTCCAGGTGCAACCCCAACCCTTCCTCCGCCCTTGCGCCTTCCCCTCCTCTCCCCTCTTCATCATCTCCGCCCTCATCCTCCTCCGCCTCCTCCTCAACCGAAACCCCCTCAACCATCTTAACCCTCCTCCCCTCCCAAAACGCAATCCCACCCGCAACCATCCCGGTAACACAGCCTGCAGCAATAAGAAACCCTACCGCCCAGCTGGGCCGCGTGAACCTGTTCAGCCCCCACATGATCCCCGCGAGGCCGGCTTGCAGGGCTGTGTTGATGACGTACATCCAGACGAGGAGGTCCATGAGGAAGGGTTTTGTGGGTGGGGCGCGGGCGCCTGTTAGGGGTGCTGGGGGGATGGAGGTCGGCGGGAGCGGGAGGGAGGGGTTTTGGAGGAGGAGCTGGGTTAGTTCTTCGTCGTCTGTGTAAGGGTATGCCATGTTGTAATTGTTGTTTCCGTTCTTGTTCTTGGTGGAAGAAGACGGCGGGGAAGGCGGGGAGGTGGATGTAACAGGTGGCGGCCCGAGATCACCAGGCAGTTTCTCGCTGCCGGCCAGTCTGAACCAGCCCCGATGGACACCGGCGAGCTTGCGCAGGGCGTCATGGTTGTGCATCACTCGCCATTGGAGGAGGTAATAGAAGTCTCTGAAGCGCCAGGGGATGAGACCGAAGCCCGTGACGCAGAACAGCGCGTTGAGGATCTGCGAGTCGATTTCTATCCAGATTTGCCGGGCGGATTCCGCTGCGGTGCAACTTGGGTTGCACATGGCGGGCGCTACGTTGAGGAGCAGGAAGAAGATCATGGCGCCCCATGCTACGATGTTGAGGCCGTAGAGCGTCACCAGAAAGCCGAAGGGGGTGATTACGAAGCGGGCAAAGCCCCTGAGGCCGATTATTGTGGCCTGGGTCCATGTGTGTTTTGGCGGGAAGCGGTAGCCGTTGGGATATGTGCCTGTTTCATCGGGGATGGGAGCAGCCAAGGTTGTTTTTACTGCCTGGGCGGATTTGGCATTTATGGCGTTTTTTTCAGATACTGTCTGTGGCTGTCTGCCGGATGGGGCTGATATATCCTCATCCCTTTGCTTCGTTTCCGTTTTTGCCGTCGTATTATCATTGCTGCGGCTGCCCCATAGGGGATCTGTAGAACACCGCTGGAGCTCCACCTCATGTTCGTGCTCCTGGAAAGCATTCAACTGCGTAGATGTAGCAATGCGTGCGCCCAAGGTTTTTG